CAGATGAACAACACTGAGAACTTCCCAGGAGATAGTCCTGAAAGTCTGACATCCTGGATGATGCCTCATGCTTGGCTCAACTAGGTAGTTTTTAATCTACAAAGCAGTATCGAGGCAGCCCTGGTACCCTTGACTGATCTGTACCCAGGGTTTCTACTCACTGTCCCCTCGCCCACTCCCTCTCTGTCTTACCATTGGATGCAGAGCCCCAGATCATATGCCTGCCTCTCTGATAAACACTCCTTTGCCAATGAGATTGAATCCTAAAGCAGCTAAAGAAGTTCATGTCAGGAAGGTGAAGCTTGGAGAGGAAGCATAGAGAGAACAGGAGAAAAGATGCCTTCTCTTGAGGAAGCTGCCTGATGTGGGGCCAAGAGGGGAGAAACAGGCCTTTCATGCTGAGGATAGGCAGTGGGGCTGGGTGTCAGCATTATGGTCATCTGGTAAGGGAGCCTGAGCGTCAGATCCTCTCCCGTTGGCTCATTGTCTCATTGCTTCAGAATCTTTCAGGTGTCTTTCTCTACGAATGACCTTGGTCTGCAGAATCTGCCCAGGGTGGCTGTTTGGGTACAGGGGCAGTCAGTAGACCAAAGGGTTAGGGAAACACGACTTTCATTACCCCCTGCAAAGCAGACAGACATGACCTCAGCTTCATCCACTTGGGGATGCTGTCCCATTTGGCACTCTTTTCTATTTTTCTCTGGTGTGATGTATTTTCTGAATTGAATTTTTGCTTTCCCATAATATTCTGTATCAGCATGGTGACAGATTATAAGACAATGGATGGACTCAACTTCTTTGGAATTTTCTAGGGTCCCTGCATCTCCTGAAGTTCTCAGGCAACGAGGAGCCTACTTACAACACAGGCTCTGTGAGGTTTTTCCTGGAGATTCTAGTATGATTCCCTGCTGCCTGCAGGGAGAAGGATCTACTTGAACAGCCTATTCCCTGCACGTGCCCAGGCTATCTGGCCTTCTAGATCCCAACCCACACAAGAAAGCCTAACTTCTGTTCTATGGTAAAGATATGTAGCCCACAAAAAAGCACACTTCAGAGTAATTATTTAAAGAATCCAAATTTCAACAATAGCTACGCAATGCACTGTTTCCAGTTGGACATAACATTTGTCACCCTGATGCAGAGCAGCTGAGATGACCCATGGGGAACCCTCAGGGAATTAGGACTATTGACATTTCCTCAGAGGGAGAGGATGTCACAAAATCCATGACATACACTGACACCTTCATGAGATCTGGTCCTCTTCCCCCAGCATTCCAGCTGCTACTACATAAAAAGAAGCAAATGACTGTGCTGGGGGCTTTTCAGTGGTACAAGTTACCTGCATTTCCAATAGTAAACCCAGTACAAGCTAGACTTGACCGATTCTCACTTTGGGCTGTTGCTCCTTCCCTGCCTAGGACAAACAGATCTTACTTCTCATCATCAAGCATCGTTGGTGTGTGTGTGTGTGTGTGTGTGTGTGTGTGTGTGTGTGTGTGTGTGTGGTCTCTGGGATAGACACAGTTGTCTGGGTCACTGACACAGGCAGGTAGAGATGAAGCTACAACAGCTATCACAGAACATATCCCACTTCTATCTCTTCTGTCACCCCCAGCTTGGGTAGCTCCTTTCTTGAGTCTAATATATAGTGTGTACACAGTAGGTTCCCAGTTCCATACCCATTCACTGAATCAGTCTCTCCAAGCTTTAGATGCTTACCGCTCCAATGAACTGCAGAGGGGTGTGGATGGCCATGAGTAACTGAAGGATAGCCAACATGGCGCAGGATATAGCTAGAAGAGATCCTTGGCCAAAGCCAATTCCAGCACTGCATCTCCTAGGAGTCAGGAGGGCACCTCTGTCTCCATTCAGACAAAGTGTGTCTATCCGGGACACACAGACAGACAGACAGACAGACAGACAGACACACACACACACACACACACACACACACACACACACACACACACCAATAGCAATGACAATGACAGGGAAGGAGTCAATGGCCCCAAGTGAGATGAATCACACCATTGCTGTTTCTTCTACCTCTCCCTTCACCATCACAATCACCACAGCCGTCACCATTATATCCTTGTTGACCGGTCAGGTGGGGCTTGTGCACAGGGTGGGGGAGCATTCAGGACTTCCTTGGGAATGAACGTGAAGGGTGCCAGGACTCCAGGTCCCCTTCCTAGTCCCCCATAGCCTGCTGCTTTGAGCAGTGTGTGTGGGTGCCACTCATTCTTCAGTTTTTCTTTCTTTTTAAAATTCAATTCTTTGATAAGTTTATATAATGTATTTTGATAATATTCACCTTAAATCCTTCCTAATCTAACCTCATATCCTTATCCCCCAACTTAACATTATTATTTTAATAACAATCAACTCCATTTTTAAAATAATAACAATTGACTACCAATACACTTGTGGGTGTGGAGCCATTCAGGAGCCATGCCCTTGTAGAAAACCGAATACCTCTGGACAGGCCCCAGAAACCCAACTGTCCATAGCTCTTAGTCAGGAGATAGGGTTCTTCCCACCCCAAGCTAGAATGTTGAAAGACTTGATCTTGGGCAGGCAACCCCAGCTGCTGTGGGTTCCTGAATGCATCCGTCTGGCCATACCCAGAAGGCACTGTTTTGCTCTGGTCCTCTCTGACCTTTCACTGTCGTAATCTTCCTGCTCCCTTCCTCTATGATGGTCCCTGAGCCTCAGAGAGAGGCTGTGATGTTGACAGATGCATCCCTTCTCAGCATGTTCATGGATACCCCTCTTCTCCAGCATGTACTGCTTTGCCAGTGCTCTGTTTTGAGGGCCCCAGTAGAAAGTCTAGCTTTCCTATCAGATTGGGACTCACACGCTGCCAGGCAATGAACTTACAAAACCCATATTAGTAATTTCAGTTGGAACCAGGGTTACTTCCCTTTGGGGCTAGAGATGAGAAACCTGCATGGTGGGTTCTAGAATTGACAAATAGCCTCTACTATGAAGGTGGATATTTTCCTTCTATGTGCTCATCCCTACTTTGGCTGATGTTCTCTCTGAACACTAGAATAATATCTAATCTTGAATATCCCTTGGTACAAGCCCAGAATTCCCTTTCTCTTCATACCACACTTGTCTCATGGAGGTCTCTGTAATGCCTGCCACATACACCAGGAGTCTGTGTGTTTGCCTCTATCATCTCAGTCATGTAACACAGCAGTTAGGTAAGTGGGATTTGAAATCAGATGCATTTGAACTTGAATACCATCTCTGATTTACTAGCTGAGTGATCTTGGCAAGACTTGTAATGTCTCTAAACCTCTGTTTCCCTAAATGTAAGCAGTAATGCATGAATTAGATTTTCCTCATCAGGTGTGGCAGCACAGGCCTGCAATCCTAGCACTTGGGGAGGTAAAATAGGAAAATCTAGAGTACTTGATCTATCTCAGCTACATAGATAGAGAGACCATGTCTTTAAGGCATTAAAATAAGCATGCCATGAAGCACTTGGCATAATGCCTCACCCATGTGAAGTGAGCCACACACATCCACGTATCCTAGTATACCACCACCATCACTCGCAAAACTCTTCAGTTATCCCAGGACTTCATCCTAGGCCTCTTGAAGACCCGGCTTTCTAGTCCAGGGACAAGGTCAAGGGCCTTACATGGTTTATTGACATTTCCACATCAGAAAAGGAAGCAAAGTTGGACTCTGCTACCCTTGCAATCTGACTTAGAAAACCTCAGGTTTTCTAGCTGTCCCTTCTATTAGATTCCTTGAGCCTCTGGGCCAGGCTCTGTTAGGAATTCTGGGATGCAGGGCCTTTGGGAGGGAACAGTTGTCCCTGCTTTGGAGCTGATGTGAAAAACATTCCTGGGGTGGCTTCTGCCTCTCTCCTTGTCTCTCCTCTTCTCCAGGTTTGCCCCTCCTCCCCTCTCCAAGGTCTTCTCCTCAGGGGAAGTTATTCTACTAACCTCTGCCTAATGAGAGCTTGTCAAATCTCACCAGTGAGCTCACTCACAGGTAGTGGACAGTGCCTGAGCTGGGGTGGCTGCCAGATGCCCTGCTTTGAGATAGTTTAAAAATCCACCAGGCCTCCTGGGTTCTCAAGGGCTGATGTTCGCTATCCTAAAATTAAGCCTGGAAGTGATCAGGGAATTGACAGAACAGTGCCCCAGGGGCCCAGGAGTGAAACCTAGGAATTCATACCTCTGACTAATTACATCCAGGATATGGTCTACACATCTAGAGGTCAGCTACTGCACAGCTCCTGCCTGAGTTCTCAGGATGGGCAGATAACCTCAGCCCAGGAGAGAAAATTCCAGTGGAGGAAATGGTGGCTGCCAGAGAAGCTTCTCACTGTTGGAAGTACATCTTCTTGCACTTCCTGCCCAACACAAACCTCCCCCATAGTGCTCGTGCAGGCAGAGGTCAGACTGATGCTGGCTCTCATTTCTACCCTGTCTTGGGCCCTGTCTATGCTGGACAGCTGTGGTCCTTAGCATACCCGAATGGTGACTCTGTAGACCTTCTGTCTTGATCTAGCTAGATCTGTGAGGACAATGCCCTCTCCTTTCTCAGTACCCTGTTCCTCAAGAAGATCAAATGGCAGGAGGCAGGAGAAGCCTGGGGTGTTCAGAGGACCCCTCCTCGGATGAAGGCAGGCATTTACCCTGTGTCTTGGTAGATAAGCAGGAAGGCGGCATCGCTGGAAAAGTAAAGCTAAGAGATCGCTGAGGGGGATAACTCTGCAGGTCCCTAATTAGGGAACAGATAAACTCTAAATTAGACCACTGCAGCATGCAAGGGCAGCATATTCCACTTTCTATCAAAGGGCTTTGTTTCTCAAAGGCTTGGAGATCTGTGCTCTGCAAATTGCCCTGGCCCTTCCTCAGGGGAAGGAGACAGTGGAGAGACGCCCCTTTCCGGTTTCCTGGGCTCAGTGGGGATAAAAGGAGACAGCCTTCTTGTGCCTCAGTATCGTGCACTGCTCCAGCTCTGTCAAGCCATCTCCTCCATCATGAGTCGACAACTAAACTTTAGGTCTGGTGGTGACAAGGGCAACTTCAGTGTGTTTTCTGCAGTGGTGCCAAGGGGACCCATGGGTGGCAGGGCTTCTTGCCAGGCAACTGGTCACAGGGATGGGGCTGGCTTCAGCAGCAGGAGCCTCTACGGTCTTGGAGGGAATCAACATATTTCCTTCGATATGGCAGGTGGCAGTGCTAGGGCCACAGGGCATAGCTTTGGGCATGGCTCTGGGTATGGAGGGACTGGAACCAGCGGCTTTGCCAGCAGCATGTTTGGCAGTGTGGCCCTGGGGCCCACTTGTCCATCTATGTGTCTGCCTGGGGGCATCCGCCATGTTACTGTCAACAAGAGCCTCCTGGCTCCCCTCAATGTGGAGCTAGACCCCGAGATCCAGAAGGTGTGCACGCAGGAGTGGGAGCAGATCAAAGCTCTGAATGACAAGTTCGCTTCCTTCATTGACAAGGTGAGTCTTATAGGAAGACATAATGATGCCATAGCAATAGCAATTCTATTTCCTGGGCAATTGGATGGATGTGATGGGACCTGGATGATGGGTGGTCTCTCATCTCAAGGGAAAGGGAATAGAGTTACAAAGTGCCCAGAATGAGGAATAAATGAAGATTGCTTCATGTGGGAATCTTATAGAGAAGGTAGGGCACTGGATAGAGGTAGTCTTATTTTGAGAAAAGTGGTGATTTCCTGAAGGTCAAGTTGTGGGAGGTGTTCCCATTTTGTGTTTTTTAAGGATGTGAACAACTGAGATAACTGAGAACAATCAGAAGGCAGGGTTCACAGTACAGGGAGGTCCATTTAGACCTAAGGGAATGTCTCCTGGGCCCAGGGTCAGGCCCCAGAAGTTAGAATGCTGTCTCTTGGTTTAAGTGCTCAGTGACTAGAGGCCCTAAAGGTGGGGAATGCACTTGTTCAAAATGTCTCTCAGGAAGGACATCTGGTGGATAGTTAGGGCTCAACTCACAGGATTTTACATCCACGGGGCATTATAATATCTGTATGGTTCCAGGTGGCTGTGGCTTTGGGTTCCAGGTGCGCTTCCTAGAGCAGCAGAACCAGGTGCTGGAGACCAAGTGGGAGCTGCTGCAGCAGCTGGACCTGAACAACTGCAAGAGGAGCCTGGAGCCTGTGTATGAGGCCCACATCCGCAGCCTTCGAAAGCAGCTAGAGACGTTGTCTGGGGACAGGGTGAGGCTGGACTCAGAGCTGAGGAACGTGAGGGATGTGGTGGAGGACTACAAGAAGAGGTGAGCAGACCACCAAAGGTGTCATGTGTTAAAGCTCCAGGGTGAGGAGCTCATGTGGTCTTCTCTGGCTGTGGGGGAGGCACCCACCCTGTGATAACATCTTCTCAGATTGATAGGTAGCAGTTCCTGAGTTTGCTGCCCTCTGGATGCTTTGGTTGTTGGTTAAGGATTCTGTGTAGGCATTTGGGTATTTTCCTGAGACACAATCAGGAAATCCAAGGACTTCTTATTCATACCATCAGCCTCTTGGCACTTACTTCTGGCACATGTTACTTTTCCTATCATTGTCATCAGCGCCTGATGGGGCAGCTTAAGGAAGCAGAGGCTTGTTTGGGATCATGGTTTGAGGGGATGCTGGCTTTCCTGGCCGCAAAAGCACAGCAGCTGGTAGCTCCACAGTGATGGGCAGAGGCTGGTTCCATGCTACCAATCAAGAGCCAGAGAGCTGAGGCCAGAAGTAGGGTCAAGCTTGAAATCCTCAGCTCTGCCCCTCCAGCTATGTGGCTGTCAGCTAGGTCCCATGACTAGAAGCTTCTACAACCTTCAAAACAGTACCACAGGCTGGGGACCAAGTATTCAAATGTGTGAGTCTGTGGGGCACACATGACACTAAAATCATAATGCCCAGAGATCCCAGGATCCCCAGGGCTTGCCCCGTGGGGGAAAGAGGTTACTTGGTTACTTGACAGACCCTGCCATCTTCTCTCGTCTCCCACAGGTATGAAGTGGAGATTGCCCGACGTACAGAAGCCGAGAACAAGTTTGTGTTACTTAAGAAGGTGAGCCCAGGTTAGGTGGTGGTGGTGCATGCTTTTAATCCCAGAACTTGGGAGGCAGAGGTGGGCAGATCTCTGTGAGTTTGAGGCCAGCCTGGTCTACAGAGTGAGTTCTAGGGCAGCCAAAATAAATGAAGATAAAGAAATTCTTTAAAAAAGAAGGTGAACTCAGAAGCAACCATGGGCTTTAGTCTCTCTTGCACCTGTATCCTAAGTGACTCTGCTTAGGACTTCATCCGAGACACCTGGAGAGGGTCTAGGAGCTGAATTTGAGTTGGACCAGAGTTATGGCTTCCAGAAAGTTGGAGAGGAAGGACACACAGCCAGGAACTGGATAGGAAGAGGGAGTCCTTGTGGGGACACTGGGAGAACATGGCTCAGCTCAGCTCCCTGCCTGGCTTGAGGGAATGCAAGTGCCAATCTGGGCTGACTGTTCTCTAGGTGAAACAAAGAAGGACTAGCCCTGTTCCCTCCCTCTGTTCCCAAAGGTTCAGTCAGCAGAGGCAGGGTGATTAGTGGGAAGAGGGGTGTATTATGATGTTATGGGGCCTCTCTGCAGGATACAGATGCAGCCTACATGGTCAAGGTGGAACTTCAAGCCAAAGTGGACTCTTTGGAGAAAGACATCAAGTTTCTCAAGTGTCTGTATGATGCGGTGAGGGCATTTTTATCCCCCACACTACTGCCTCTCTTTAGCCAAGAGCCTCTGACCACCTTCCCAGAGGGACAGCACTGGGAGGGACTCAAAGTACATCAGATAAAGGTGTTTGCAGAGAGTAGCATGGCCAACTCTGTCAGAGACCGTGCATGGACCCAGAAACCTGATGGAGAAGAGGTAAGTATCTGGGGGTCCTGACTCTGTTTCTATCTCCAATTCAGGAGATTGCCCAGCTCCAGACTCATGTCAGTGACACCTCTGTCATCCTCTCCATGGACAACAACCGGGATCTGGACCTTGACAGTATCATTGCTGAGGTCCGTGCCCATTATGAGGACATTGCCCTAAAGAGCAAGGCTGAAGCTGAGGCACTGTACCAGACTAAGGTAAGCACTGGGCGGGGAGAGGAACCTCTTCCCTTCCTGGGAAGGGTCCCTAAACCAACAACATAGAAATGCTGAGCATGAGTTGGGACCAATGGCATTCTGTCCGAAAGAAGTTCTAGGCAGTGCTATCAAACTAGTGTGGATGGACAAATCAACAGGGAGAGGCTAGTCCTCAAGGAGGCTCAGCGTGAAGCACTCCCATTGTAAAGCAGATGCATTTATGGGGATGGGGATACAGTGGCACAGGGAAGGAGGACAAGAGTATCAGAACAGAGTAGCAGTGGGTGAGCTGGGGCCGGGAGGGGGGCGGAAAAGAGAAAGCCCTTAGCTTGTTTCTGCTTTGCATGAGGGTATTAGAAGACTCTCAAAAGCCAGCTGGACTTCAAGGAGCACCTACAAACAGGTCCGGTGATGGAGTAAGACCCTCAGGGTGCTTCTGCTCTTGCCCTCGTTTTCATAGTCATTAATGTATCAGCTTTCCATTTCTGTAACAAAAATGGTGAGGAGGAAAAAAAAAATCAACTTACAACCAGCCGAGGTTTGTTTTGGTTCACGGGTGCAGAGGTTTCAGTCTGTGAATGCTTGGCCCAGGGGGCACAGAGCACATCACGGCAGAGCTCGTGGCAGAGGGGCCAGCTCACTTCACAGCATTCAGGAGGCAGAGAGAGCAGGAGAGAGTGGCCGGGTACTTTCGTTCCCAATATTCCCTTCAAGGGCATGTCCCCAGTTCTTACTAGGACTTACGTCTCAATAGTGCTAAGCTGAGGATCAAGATATTGACACATAGGCCTTTGGGGGACACTCCCAATTCCAACAACAGCACCACCAAGCCGGGATGGCAGGGGTAGCTCACTCTCACTACCCGCTTTTGTCCCTCGTTCCTGTCCACAGGCATCCCACCTCCTCTTCCCTGAAGGGCTGGACATGGGTAGAGGAAAGCCACTAGTCCCCCACTCTACCCCAATCCCACCTGTAACCCCCTCTAAAGACACGTGTGCCCTCAGCTTCCCTTCTTCTCTGACCTGTGGCTGGGAAGTTCTGCAGAAGAGGGTGAGCCTAGAGAGAGCAGGGCAGGCTGCATCTTCAACGCCGGAGCAGAGCCAGGCTGGGCCTTTGGGAGATGCTTCTCTGAATACAGGATGGCAAAGAGGGGTCAGAACTCTCATATTCTCACATTGGGGAGGGCTTAATGAGTGGGGACTACACCTTCCTTTCTACTCTGGGAAAAGATTCAGGATGGGGCCTAGCTTGGTCACACGAAGGTTCTGCCTAAAGGACAGGGCGAGGGGGTTTCTTGGTCAGAGCCGGAAGGGCACCTGGACACTGGCTTCAACACCTCCACTTGAGGGTCACCTCAAGCTCTCCGGGGTAGGTATGCTCTCCCAGGGCTGGTCATTTCCTCCATCTTATCCACATCTTCCTCTCTCTGGGACATTAGATTCAGGAACTGCAGCTGGCAGCTGGCTGCCATGGGGCCAACCTGAAACACACCAGGAATGAGATGATGGAGCTGAACCGGCTTGTCCAGAGGGTCCGCTGTGATCTGGCTAATGTGAAGAAGCAGGTGGGCAGTGACCAGGAGAACAATGAGAGGCACAGCTGCACTCCTGTGATGGAGACACAGGGCTGCCCTTGAGGAGGAAGCAGGGCTCCCTAAGGGCTTGAGAGTCTCAGGGCCAACAATGGCTCTCCTTCACCCTGTATCAGAATGGGGAAGATGCTATTCACCTCTGGCTCACCCATTGTGTAGATAGGACAGCTGAACAGAAAAGGAATAGTGCCCCCACCCGGTCATCTACAGGGCAGGGTTAGAGCTCAGGGGCTCCAGGTAGCCTTGCCTTAAGTTTTATTTTCTGTGTCTAACACACCTGCCCCATGCCTTTTGTGTGTGACCCTCTGAGAGCAGGCCTTAGGCCTCCTCTCAAGTGTCTGGGTGCACGGGATGAGACAGGGCCCTCTGTGGCCATCCTGCATTCCTGTCCTCGTGGTGGGGCATGGCCCTGGTGGAGGGGTGCAGCAGCAAATGCAGTCCCCTGGATTCTCCCACCGTGCCGCAGGACCATTTTCTTTGCACTGGTCTTACCTGAAGACAATAATTCCTAAATGCTGGGTGAGTGAGTGAGTGTGTCCGAGTGTGCCTATATGTGTGTCAGTGTATGTGTATTATGTCAGGGTGGTGTATGTACACATGTGTACAGGTGTCCACACCTGTATGTGCATGGAAGGCTAGGAGAACATCTATGTCCTGATCTATCACTGTCTTACTGTTTTTGAGATGAAGTCTCCACTGAACTTGTAGCTAAGCTGGCTGCCAGTAAGCGCCAGTGATCCTTCCTTCTCCACCCCTGACCACAGCTCTTGGGTTATAAGAGGGGGCATGGCCAAACCTAGCTTTTCATGTGTGTTCTAGGGATTTGAAGTCAGGTTCACATGCTTGGGCATTATTGATTTTACCTTCTTAGCCATCTCCCAGTCAACATCTTTAAAGGTCCATCTGCAATGGAAAGTGCAGACCCAGATTCTGGTGTTGGCTGCTCCTTTTTGCACCTTGGGTCCCATTTGTATAATGAAGCTACTGTGCTACCTTACCACCATCTTAGTTATTTTTCCTGTTGTGATAAAAAATAAAAAACCCTGACATAAGGGAGAAAGGGTTTCCTTTGGCTACTGTAGGAGAGCATAGCCCAGCATGGTGGACTGTGGAGAGCATGGTCCAGCATGGTGTCAAGCTGTCAAGTTGCATCTGTGGTTAAGCAGCAGAGGATGGTGAACCCCCGAACTCAGTTAGCTTTCTTCTTTCGTAGGTCATCCAGAACCTAAGTCCAGGAAATGGTACTGTTCATGTTTAGGGTGGGTCTTCCCACTTGAACCAATCTAATCAAGATGATCCCTCATAGGCACAACCAAAGACTTGTCTCCTGGGTGATTGTATCAGGTTCATGATATTAACAATCACAACTGTGATCCAATTGTATTTTATGTTCTGACCCTCTCTCTGCTCTTTATTCCCCAGTGCTCCAACCTGGAATCGGCCATCATTGATGCTGAGCAACGAGGGGACAGTGCCCTCAAGGATGCCCGGGCCAAGCTGGATGAGCTGGAGGGCGCCCTGCAGCAGGCCAAGGAGGAGCTGGCTCGGATGATGCGCGAGTACCAGGAGCTCATGGGCTTGAAGCTGTCACTGGACATTGAGATCGCCACCTACCGCAAGCTGCTGGAGGGCGAGGAGTGCAGGTGAGGGTGCTGGCGGGCAAGGCCATGGTGCCAAGGCAGAAACGGCTGTGGTTTCTCTGGCTGAGCGGGCATTTGAGAGGAGAACGATGGGGAAAACAGTGTTAGCAACACCATGAGAGAGGGCAGCTGTGGTTTGCCATGTGAACTCAGATGTGCTTCCTGCAGGGGGATGTTGGAGGCCAGCCATATGTACAGGGGGTTTTGTGGTGATACAAATGGAGCTGTGGGGGCAGACAGATTGTCCCATTGCCCCACACTCTCAATATGGTCCCAGTAGATCATGCTACACCTCTATTTACCGTCTGTAGAATGAAGGTTAGGATCTTCATGTGTTGCAAGAAGAATAAATTACATTAACAAACACAGGAAAGCAGGAGCCCACTAAGGCTCAGCTGAATCCCTGAGGTTTTATTCCTTTGGTTTGTTTGTTTGAAATAAGGGCTTTCTCTGTAGCCCAGGCTGGCCTCAAAGTCATGGTAATCCTCCTGCCTCAGCCTCCCAAGTGGTCTTATCTTTTAACTTTCTGTGTTGCAGGATGTCTGGCGAGAACCCATCCTCTGTGAGCATCTGTGAGTATCCTAGAGATGGGATGGGCTGAGGAAGCCAGGGGCCATGGGATACATGATGCCCCTCCAATCTCCATCTTACCTCACCTAGAAGTCTCTGTTACCATCCTCTGAAAGTTCTCTGGTGTCAGGGGCAACAATTCCCACCTTCTGTCCCCTGGAAAAAGTGATTGAAGTTCATACCCATCTCTTTTGTTATCCATCTCCTGGAACAGTAGCCTGGAGAAAGGCTTTGGGGATGGCAGGCACTATATCCTCTGTGGTTCCCCCACCACATGGTTAGGTACATGGCAAGGTCTCACTCACTGTATTGGCTATGCACATGGCCCTCACATTGTCCAGGGATAAGCAGAGCAACTTCAGAGATGGCACTTACCATGGTTGTTGTCATTTGCTGACAGACACTACTCTCGGCCCTTCTTCCTCAGCTGTCATCAGCAGCAGCCATAGTTCCTATGGCTGTCACCCAAGCTCCATGAGCTCTGACTTTGGGGCTTGCAATGTAACTGGAAGCCCCAGCACCCCTCAAAACACCCAGACCAAGACCAGAGGAGCAAGAGCAAGAGACGTCAGGGACTCCCAGGATAAGAGCACTGCTGTTGGTAGCCTGGCCAAGAAGACCACTTGATAAGCCCACCGCCCTGCTCACCTCAGTGTCTGGAGAAAGAATGTCTTTGCTGCTACCCAGAGATGACCATCATACTTGAACCCTCCATCCCCAAGTTTTAGGACTCTCTCTACTACACTTGACTATCCACTATCCACTTTAAGTTCTGAGTGACACAGTCAGTCTTCCCATGTCAGTAGGTCCCATGTGGGCTTCTGACTTTTCTTGCCTTCAGTTTGCTGAAGGCTGTGGAAGCACAAGCCACCACCATCTTCTCAAGCTAAGGAGGCTATGATCAACCAGAGAGAGGGAAGAGAAAGGAGGGGCATTGAGGCCATATTCTCAGTTGTCTAGATTTTTGCTCTCAGAATGGGTGGGTGGGATTTTGGCAGTCTTTATCTGTCCCATTGACCAGGCCATTGTAGAGTGACTGGATTGTTCAGGAAATAACAATATTGTTCAGGAAACAATATACATGTTTGCAGATCCTCCAATGAGCTCCTATTCACAGAGCCACATTGAAGAGAACTTTTTTCCCACCTTGGGTCACCACTTTGATTATCAACAATAGTTACTTCTACCTGTCAAGCACCTACTGTGTGCCAGGTTGTCAGGATCCTGGTATGTGTTCCATCTAGTTTTCCCCTTACCCTGTAGAGAATGCACAAGCCACATCTTTGGGACACATAGGGAAGCTGTTTCTCAGAGTGACTGAACTAGCCCACATTATATGAGTGACTGAGCTAGCCCATATCACACACCTACAAGTCAGCTCAAGCCTGGCAGATGGCAGGGTTCATGATGTTTTGCTATTATGTCACAATCACTTTTAGAGAGAGAATATCAAGGCCACAGTCCTCGATAAAGGCAGTCAATCTTGCTGGCTTTTGTGAAGACTGTGGCTATGTTTGGTTCTCGGACCTCTCCCTAGGCCTGTGACCTCCAGGACTTTATGACTCTAGAGTGCTATTGTTGTAAGCTGAGTCCAGCGATGGACTTAATCTTGTCTCTGGGTGGTCCTACCCAGCCTCAAGTCAAGGATTGCTGTGTGAAGGATGGCACCACCATATCCCTTCCTTGCATGGCCCAAGGACTCTCAGTTTCTGCTGAATGAGCAATAAACTACCTCGGACCAATGTCGGGTGTACATCCATCCATCTGTTCAAACCTTCCACTGTGTATAGACAATGTGACCCACATGTACATATGCACAGCCATTGGGTAGCTGGAGGTCAACTCAGGGGACTGCACAGGAGGTCACTTCAGGCTGCAGGGAGAAATAGAAACACTTAGAGCCATGCACTTGTGCCTCTCACATCATCTGCAAAAATGAATCAAATGTATGCAACACATAAACACAGTAGTTAAAAATATAAAACTACTAGAAGAAAATACAAGGGTAAATTTGTAAAAACCCTAGAATCAGGAATGGATTAGGCAAAACAGATTAACTACTGAACTTTATGAATTAAAAACATCTTTAAAAGAGGTTGCTTTGTTATATTTGAGGCAAGTCCTCTATAGCCCAGGCTAGCTTTGAACTTGTGACACTCTTCCCTCCTCAAGCCCTGAGATGACAGATATGAGCCATGTGGGCCAGCATTGTTGTAAGGCCAAGTTAAACAGCTTTTCCTGAGGGCATAGGAAATATCTCACCCCAGAGAGGACACTGGTGACAGACCAAAGAAATGATTCCATCTGAGTCTAGCTTAGTGAACCAGTGGATTTATTGGGACTTCAGACAGGAGTATGAAAGAGGGGTTATAAGTAATAGCATGGCTGACTCAGGGGCATCTTCATCACCAAAAAGCCTCGTGACTGTTGGAATTTTCTGTGCTTTCTGGGTCTGATAAATTTCAAGAACTTTCCAAGTCTCCTCCTCCCTGCAGAAGGGACACAACTCACACTGTCAAGAAAGTAGCAGCTGGGTGGTGGTGGCACGCATCTTTAATCTCAGCACTTGGGAGGCAGAGGTAGGTGCTCTATGAGTTCAAGGCCAGCCTGGTCTATAGACAGACAGAGGTACACAGAGAAAACCTGTTTCTGAAAAAGAAAAAGGAAAAAAAAGAAGAAATAAAGAAAAAAAAAGAAAAAGAAAGTGGGAAGAGCCAGGCATGGTCATGGGTGCTGCTCCCTCTGCATTTGTGAAGCTGAGTTCAAGGCCACTGTGGGATACACGGTAAGACCACCCACTCCCAAGCAACAAAAATGTGAAGGGGGCATGAGAAATTAAGTGAGAAGGGGACCTGCAGGAGGACAAAAATATTTACAAATCATTTCTCCAGTAGGTTCTAGTATTCAGAGTATGAAAGGAACTCTTACAACTCAACAAGACAAGGATAGCTTAGCTAAGAAACTGCAAAGTGGCTGTAGATTTGGCTCAGCAGTTAAGAGCACATACTGCTCTTCCAGAGAACCTGAGTGTGATTTCCAGCACCCACATCTGATGGTCTCACCACCTGTAATTCTAGCCCCAGGGGATCCAACATCTCTAGCCTCTTCAGGCATCTGTATTCATGTGTACACACACATACACATGCACACACACACACACACACACACAGGCATGCAGGCGTACACACAAAATAATCAAGTTTTTAAAAAGGAGTATGAAAAGGACTTTAATGAATTTTCATCTACAGAATGTATACATATGGCCAATGAACACACAAAAATATGTTCAATGTAGACATTAGAAAAATTGGGGAGCAAATCCATAATTTATACCTTCTAAAGCAATTATACTATTAAAAAAAAAACCAGGGGATAACAGATACTGGCGAGGATGTCCAGAAGTTGGAACCTTTTGTGCTTTTGTTTTGTCTTGAGACATGGTCTCACTATGTAGCCAAGCCTGGCCTGGAACTCACTATGTTGATCAGGCTGGCCTCAAGCTCTTAAAGATTCACCTGCCTTTGCCTCCTAAGCTCAGGGTCTAAGGGCATATGCCACTAAGCTTGACAGAGAGGTTAGAATCTCTGTATGGTCCTTAAGAATTAGGCTGGAGTGTTGGCTCAGTGGTTAAGAGCACATGTGACTCTTGCAAAGGACCCAGGTTCTATTCACAGCCCCCACATGGTGACTCACAACCATCTGTCCTTCAGTTCTAAGGGCTCCCATTCCCTTTTTTGACCTTAGTAAGCACCAGACATTCATGTGGTATATTGACATAGACACAGGGACCACACACACACACACACACACACACACACACACACACACACACACACGCACACACACACGCACACACACACACACACACACACACACACACACACACACACACAAAATAAATACAAGGATTGCCATGTGTCAGTAAGTCTACTCCTAGAGATACAGGCAAAGGAACTGAAATCAGATATTTCAACAGCATACGTGATGTAGACGCTCATAGCAGTGCTAGATAAAACAGCCCAAATTTCAGCAATGAATGAATGGCTAAAACTGAAGTTCAGTATATACTTACAATGAGTATTTTTTTCCTAATCCATGAAAAGAAATGCTGTTACAATGAGAGTGATTCCTGCTAAAAAGAAGAAGAGGAAGAATAAGAATAAGGAGGAGGAGGAGAAGGAGAGATTCCCTCATTGCACTATACATACATAGATGTATCCAGATTAGGAACTCCAAATAGACAAACAGTGGAAATATCAGGCTGCTGGCAATGGATATAGGGCTTTCTTTGGAGTGATGAAATGCTTTGAAATTAGGAAGAGGTCATTGACTGTACCACTGGGAACACAGAAATGTCAGTTAATTTTATGGTCTATCATTTTCATTTCAATAAAAGTATAAATTGAACACGGGAGTGGGAGTGTTAGTAAAAAGAACAGTGAAACTGTGTCCCAGTTTCTCCACCATCAGAGGCAATCTGTCATAGACAGGGAAACTGTCTAGGGCCAACAGGACACAGGGACAAACAGCCTCTATTCAACTGGCTTAGGGAAGTGCAAGCTAGTCTTTGATGGCTAAGAGATGACTCTCTGGGACTCTTGCTGCCACCAAATAAGGCATCCTTGCATTCTTTCACTGGATTTCCTGCTTATTTAACTGGCTACCTGTGTTTTAAGCTTTGGCCATGGAGAACAGTTGGCAGCCTAGTGTCCGTGTTTGCCCTTGATGAGCTGAAGCCATGGGAACTGACAAACTTCAACATTTCTTTCATCAGCCAGAACCATGGTCCTGTAGCTTGGACCAGGCTTTGTGTGTGTATGTGTGTGTGTGTGTGTGTGTGTGTGTGTGTGTGTCTGTGTGTTTGCCTGTGTGCATATTCATGTCTGTATCTGGGAGTTTGTGTGTATAAGTAGGCACACATGTGTATGAGGAGGCCATAGTTCAACTTCTGGTGTCTTTCTCTACTGTTCTCTAGCTTATTTATTTATTTGTTTATTTATATTTTATCTATTTATTTATTGAGACAGGGCCTCTCCTTTAACTTGGGGATTTAGCCCTGCGTATCCTCCTATGTCTGTTTTCCAGTGCTAAGATAGCAGTCACATCCTACCAGGTCTGGCTTTTTATGCTGGTGCTCTGGATGTGTGGCAAGAACTTTGTCCACTGAGCTACCTTCCCAGCTCTTCAGACCAGGTATTTAAGGTCCAGCCTTGCTGAAGTTCTCAACCCCGATGTTAACTAGCTAATGTGAACACAACATCCCACCACCACCAAAAACTTATCTTCATTCAGGACTCGGCAGAGAAGTCCAATGTTTACTGGACTAAGAAGTCCTCCAAGGAATATGTCTTCCCCATATGTGGTGGCTGCCTGGCAAGGAGAGGCTGCTTGATAAATGCTGAGTGAGTCATTTGGGAAGAGGTTTCCTCTCAGGCCCGCTGCTGTCACGGTCTCAGGGATGCTGGATGGGGCAATGATTAACTCACTCTGTCACCAGCTGGAGTCACTGCCTCTTCTCCCAGGGCTATTATTGAGCAAGAATAAATGGAAAACACATGAAATGAGATTATTGGCCTTACAGACGAGAGCACTCAGGGTTGGGAGGGCCAGGATATGGAGAGCTCAGTGTTCACCACTATGGTTCAACAGTCAGACCTACAGAAGAGGGCAGAAACCAGAGACTGTGGGAGGCACCTGGGGGGCAAGTGTATGACCAGGCTGTGAGAGGCCCAGGTCACAGACTGCACCCATTCTACTGGGAGCCCAGAGCTGAGCCACGGTACAGCTACTCACCTGCCATGCAACCTCGAGGAAATTGCCTAACTTCCTTGGGCATTAATATCTCATTTACGAAGTGGCAATAATAATAGTGCCAGCCTTCAGGGCTGTTGTGAGGATTAAATGAATTAATGTATGTGAGGTGCTTAGAACCATGGCTGGCAGGATGAACCCTGACTAAGTATTAGCTACTGCAGTCATGATCATTTTCATTATTATTATTTACAAGGTATCTTTCTTCCACCTCAGGGAATGCACCAGATGTTGGTATCTCCTTC